TTTGCAGGCAAGTGTGCATGTTTTTTTTTTTTTTTAGTAAATGTAACTAAGTATATTGAAACTAAGGTTTACATGGCAACAAGGTTGATTCTCCTAAAATTATAAGTAAATTTAACTAGCAGTTTTCTTGTTTTTTAAGTACATTCTATTCAAATTTCAGTTCAATGAACAACATAAATCGTAACACTGTAAAAATACACATCATCTATACGTTATTATTACTATTTAATGGTCACTAACATCTTTAACAGTTGAAACCAGAAGTAGGATGCCAATGAAGAAATGCAGTAACATCAGCCTTTATACAGCCTGAACAGGCACAACCCAAGATGATTCATTAATTCATTAACCATACACCTGACTGAGAAACACAAAGAGGCTGAGCCTTAGGCCTTAAAGCTGACACAAAACAAGAAATATTAAAAACAACCCATCCGTAACGCTCGAAATCAAATCAGTTTAAAGTTCTGTGACCGCGTATGCAAATCGAGTACAAAAGCCACGCCCCCACTTTAACTCCAATCAGTTCAACTGCTTGTTTTTTTCTAGTTTTGTGAACGCTTGCAAAAATAATAGTACATTTAACCCATTACAGTAAGCAAACTATAAAGTTAGCAGCAGTTTTAGCGACATATTTACATAAATTAAGTGAGTACAGACCTTAAAGCGTTTTAGTAATTCTAATAATTTGCTTTTTTATGAAAAAAAAAAAAACAGATTTGTCGTATTTACTGAACCACTGAATCATTTTTTCAGGGTATTTATTTGATTACTTAATAGCTTCCCTGTATATTATTTGATGCAGATCGTTATTTTACGTCTGCAGGCACTAAGGATGAAGAGAAGAACACAAACCGGATACGCCAAGTGGGGAGACGTCAGCAGTCTCCTGAGGCGAGAGCGGCGTCTTCGTCCAAACGAAATCATAAAGGTCATCAGAATCACAGCTTGGATTGTAAAGATGTCTAGATTTTGTAGTAAAGCCATTAACCATTTGTCAAACTAATTTAACAACACAAAGCTATTCGCTATCTGCTTAGAAGAAACAATCAAAATAATTTACAGAAGCTACATTACAGTACGTGTGTGTCTTTATTTCATTTTATTTTTTGTATAGCCATTCTGTTCCGTCATTCTTTCATTGTTATTAATTCTGTCATCATGTGGATTATTATTATTATTATTATATATATATTCTGGGATCATCTCACTTCAAATTTCACTGAAGTACAATTTCTTTTTATAACGAACAAAAACACATAACTAAATCTTTACTGTTATCCAGGGCTCATAAAGGCTGAACAGACATTGGATAAGAGAAGAGTGGAATCTGGGGGAACCAGAAAGCTCGTGAGAAGCCAGAGTATGGATTTGCTCTACCTAAGATGTGAGTTTTAAAATAAGCTTCTTTTAAAATAAAGAACATCTCTTAGTTACTGTTGGCCTGGCATTGTGAATCATCTAACTTATTCCTGAACGCATATCTGTTCCTCAGATGCTGGAGCAGAGGACACAAGACAACATGGAGGTATTAGGAAAATGAAGAGAACCAAGAGTCTGGAACGATTTATTGTGTTTAACAGTAAGTATATCAACTTCTTTAACTTCATAATATTATATAGACACAGAGGGTGGAAAAAAAGAACAAAATCTCCAGTATATTTATATTAGCAAGCAACATTGTTTTATTACTAGTCATTTTATTAGTAGTAGGCACTTTGGGTCAGAGCTCTTCTATAGCGGCCCATTGCAATGAATTCACTCATGTCTTTCACTTCATAATTGGATCACTGGATTTCACTTCGCTGGTCAAATTATGAAGAAAACTGCATAATGTACACATCAGATATATGGAGTACTGATTCAGACATCCATGACACCAGCATTTTCTTAATGATACATTCCCAAAAAAAACCCCATAATTTCTAATCTATACTCGTGTGTTCATTCACCGCTTTCTGCGGCGGTCTTTAAAATGTGGCGTCTCCCACAAAAGTTTGTCCGTTTGATCTCACGTCCGTAACGCTAACAAATCGCTGTGTGTTTGTAACATTAAATCAACGCATGAGTTTTTAAGATTTGTCTGCCTTTTCTTCAGGAGATTAAATCACAGCATATGCAAATCAACTCATTGACATGAAGCTTGTCTCTGCTGGGAGACATTTTGTTAGTCCAAATATCACATCCATAAATATAACTATTTAAAATGAGCTTATGTGCAATCTTATGCCTTATTTTGTTCATGCGCCATAGTTGTTAAAAAAACAGGTTCTTATTGTTTCACACGTGATAATTGGGCGACCACAAGGCCACCAAATAATTCACTAAATGAAATAAAATAATGTACATACATAATGTATATTTATTGATCAGAACACACACACACACACTACTGTATCAAACATCCAACAGCCTTTTAGTTAAGATTTACTGTCACCGTAGGACATTCATTCATCATTAGTAAGCACTTTATATCTATTCCTGGGTGTGAGATGGGAATACAACCTGCGTGGGAGATGCCAGTCCATCACAGGCCACCATGCACACACACACACACACACCTGCACGCGCACACACACACACACGCGCACGCAAATGACCTACTCAAGCGAGCTTAACTCATAACTGAAAAAGAATTGCATTTCAGTGTGTTGTTTTGATTTCCTTCATTCATTGTTTTTTATTCTTTATTATTTTATTTTAGGGGAAGAAGAGAAGACAGCAGTGAGCAAAGCGCTACCAAAATCATAAAGAGTCAAAAGGGCCAGAAACGAACCAAAATCTCTGCTATTTTCTGCCTGAACTGCTGCCTGCTTAGTTTTCTTTTACTGTTTTGCTCAAGACATTACTGCCTTATAACTATTGTGTAGTGTGTCTTTTTTGTTTATACTTAGTGCTTCTTGATGCAGGTTTGTAAGCTTGAAAGTCTGGCCTTTAAAGAAAGAAACCTTTAGTAGTTATAAAGCCCTCGAATGTGGCTGAATTAAACCAGTTCTGCAGAGGAGTGGGCCAGACTTCCTAAAGACTGAGCTCCAGTTATTGGATGTGATCGGTTACAGTTTTTGCTACTAAAGGTGGCAAAACCAGTTATAAAGTTTAAGGGGGCAATTACTTTTTCACATATATCATTACATAGGTGTTGCTTTTTCAATAAATGAAATGATCACTTATAACCTGTTTTGCATTTTCTTATGTTCTCATTGTCTTTTCTTACATTTTATTTGAAGATCTGAAACCTTTTATTGTGACTAATATGCAAAAAAAAAAAAAAAATAGATGAAATGTACTTCAGTTCATACAGTAAAAGAAATAAGCAAATAAATGACACTATTACAGTGCCTCAAATGATGCTATTACCGGTATGTTTCTGTTTTAAAACCTTAAAGATTAAATGATATTTGATGATTAAAACATTACATGATACTATTTAGGATTATTTATTTAGGAAAAACACCCAACTTCTATCTTTTTCTTTCACGGTCCCGGCTTCAGACGGACCCTGCGTTCACACTAGTGAGCGAGAGAAGACCGTTCGTCCTCTAGGTACATGTGTGACATGGAGCAGCGACAGTGACGGTGATAAACAACAAAGTGACAGCACACATATGAGCTGAGGTTTACACAACTTTATGCAAATTAGGTATGACACCATAATATAACAAATCCAAACTTGAGGCGCCACAGGACTAGACCATAAGAAGAGAGCAAAGAGGGGAGGGAAACTATTCAAAATGAGAAAATGTGCCAAATGAAATGTCACTTTAAAAAATAATACAAAGAATTCCCTAGTAAATACATCAATCCCTGCGTCTTTTAAACTTCTATTAACTAATCATTGTTTTGACTTCATGAAAACGCAAACTGTTCTCAATACACATGAGCAGACTGAAAGGTGAGAGAATGTATTTGAAACCATTTTGTTTCACCTCATTAGGGATAAATAGGGATAAAAACTAACAGATGCAGCCACTAGAGGGCAGCAATTACACTTTGGGTTTACTTTTCAACCACTAGCACCGGCCATTTGCTATTGATCGCTGTTTACCAGACGCGGCAGTAGCTCAGCGAGATCCGCCATTTTGTGATGATATTCGGTGCTGAAAAAACAAAGTGCTCTACAATGTCAAGTGATACTTAGAGGTCTTTCCAATAGCAATTTCATGTAGAACAGTTCTTTCATTGTGCTCTTTCAACACATACAGTAGTGTGCAAAAGTCTTAGACACCTGATTTTTTTTAGTGCAAACTTTGTTATAGATGTTTATTTTTTTACTTCTACATTATTGATTCAGTACAAAAACTTTTTAGATTCCAAATTTTAGTTTTCCAGCACAAAATTAAAAGTTACAGAAAAATGTTTGTATGTCAGTAAAGAAAGCAGCAGATTCCATAAGAGACACTTTTCAGATAAAAACAGAATGAAGGCTGCTGGGTTTTGCTGCAGAAATAAGAAGCGAGTCGACAGTCAAAGTCTCCAGAAGAACTGCGGCTGCTTCTGCAAGATGCTCAGTAACACTTACAGCTCATTTCCTTATAAAACTGCACACACTGCACCTGAGACTACTATTTTTTTTTAAGTGAAGGATCGTTACACCAAATATTGACTTTGTTTCATTTATTACTGTTTACTGCTCTTTATGTAGAAACATTTAGTTTCATTATTTTTGGAGGCATCTTTTCTCTACAGCATTTCTTAGCATGTGCCTAAGACTTTTGCACAGTACTGTATATAAAGAGGGGGCGTACCTAATATACAGGCCACGACGTGAAATTTACGGTGGAAAGACCGAATTACCCCTGGTGGTGGTGGATGTTGTTATTGTTCTTTCGGCTGCTCCCGTTAGGGGTTGCCACAGCGGATCACCTTTCCATTGTTCGCATATTGATTTGGAACAGGTTTTACCCCAGATGCCCTTCCTGACACAACCCTCCCCATCTATCTGGGCTTGGGACTGGCACTGAGAGTGCACCAGCCTGTGGGAACCCAGCGGCTGGGGTTGGCACCCAGCATGGGGCTCAAACCCACTGAGATCAAGAATCCCATGCGCTACCAACTGAGCTAGCCGGACGTCAACACATTATCCCTGGTACCACTGCAAATATGCCACCGAACTGTGTCACTATGTTTATGATGAGAGATGCTTTTATTCTAAAACTCAAACTAGGAATCCCTAGGTACTCAAATGAAAGCTACTCAAATGAATTTAATGACTACTTGATACAGTATGACTTATTTTTTTGAAACGAAAGAATACAATGTTCGTTTTTTTCCTCATTTATTGTATGGAAACTTGACACAGCAGTGAATCAATCTACATTCTAAAACTACACACTGAGCACTTTAGTTCCCCTTCAGGCACTCGAGCTGCATCGACTCGCTATGGGAACGCCTTCAGCGTGACCACACCCTGAATCACATGTGTAATCAGTCCAATGGATGGGCGAGACGTCATGGGCGGGGTGACGTAGCGACCAGGAAGCTTAAAAGCACGCGCGGTGGATACAGCGGCAGCTTTCTGTCATTCAGCAAGCGCTCTGTGTGTGTCAGTCTGATTTTGTATTGTCTGTCTAAGCATTATGTCAAAAGCAAAAGAAAAGATAAAACATAAGGGCGAGAGCGGGCAGCGTTTTAGGCTGTGTGTTCCTCCCTGCCCGCGCTATATTACGGGTGGGGATACACACAGCCTGTGCGTTGTCTGCTTGGTAGCGGAGCACGCAAAGTCGGCTACTGCTCGCATTGCGAGCGTTTGCCGCTGCGTGTGCTTCGCTCCCAGAGGGCTCTCTTTGAGAAGGGAGCCTTCACCCGCGTTCCTCGCGGTGTTGGCCCCGATTCTGCCGAGGCAGAGCGGTGGTTACACTCGTGTGGTTCGCAAATGGATTTGGTGGAGGGAATGGAGACGGGCGAGTCCCTTTCTCCTTCCTCACCCACCAGATCCACTGCCCACTCTCTGGGATCGGGAGCCCGCTTTGCGGTTTCTTCCCCCCGGGGAGAGGGCTCGGCGCTCCGCCTGTCTTCCTCCGAGGAGGTTGACGTGGAGGGCGCCGATGATGATTCACCCCCTCAAATGGATTTGGTGGAGGGAATGGAGACGGGCGAGTCCCTTTCTTCTTCCTCATCCGCCAGATCCACTGGTCCTTTTATGTGGTTTTGCTTTCGCCGCGGCATGCCTAAAGCTCGCATAAAGACGAAACATGAGGAGTAAACAGGCAGCATTTTAGGCGGTGTGTTTCCCCCTGTCCGTGCTATATTACGGGTGGGGATACACACTGTCTGTGCGTTGTCTGCTTAGGAGCGCAGCCCGCATTGCGTACGTTTGCCACTGTGTGTACTTTGCTCCCGGAAGGCTCTCTTTGAGGAGCTGCCACCTCCACGCCGGAGCCTACCTTTCTTCCCCGACCTCCACACCGAGGTGTGGAGGTCGTGGGGGAGGCCTTTCTAGACTCAGGAGATCGATCTGCTAACCCTGCCACCCATGGTACTTCAGGGGGCAGCGATCTCCGGCGACCGCTTCTCTCAGTTTCCGCCCGGGAACATAGCGGTACTTAGAGGCTCGCTACCTCTTCAGAGGTCTCCAGAGCAGCTAGTTCGGCCGTATACTTCCATATCTCCATCCTTCCCCAACACAGGAAGTTCCTGAGGTTTGCTTTCGGGGGCGAAGCTTACCAATATCGGGTTCTTCCGTTCAGCCTGGCACTCTCACCCCGCACTTTCACGAAGTGTGTGGATGCTGTTTTGGCTCCTCTGCGACTCCAAGGCATCCGCATACTGAATTATATCGACGATTGGTTGATATTAGCTCAATCGGAGCAGGCGGCGGTCCGGCAGCGAGTTGTCATTCTCGCCCAATTAAAGAGCTGGGGTTAAGACTAAACACCAAGAAAAGTGTGCTTTCTCGAGTACAGAAAACCACTTATCTGGGCGTGGTGTGGGATTCGACCACGATGCAGGCACGTCTGTCTCCTGCTTGGATCGAGTCAATCCTCACAGCAGTCGTGAGAGGCCGGTCACTCACTGTAAAGCAGTTCCAGAAACTGCTGGGTCTGATGGCAGCTGCGTCCATCGTGATACCTTTTGCCCTGCTCTACATGAGACCCGTACAGTGGTGGCTCAAGACCAAGGGGTTCTCCCTGAGGGGAAGCCTGCTCCACATGATCAAGGTTACGCGGCGGTGCCTACGTGCCTTAGACATGTGGAGGAAACCTTGGTTCTTGTCCCAGGGCCTGGTGCTTGGAGCTCCTTGTCACTGTGTAACGCTAGTGACGGACGCTGTGGAGCGGCCGCTATCTCACCTGGCACATCAACTGCCTGGAGATGCTGGCCATGTTTCTAGCATTGAAACACTTTCTCCCGGACCTAAGAGATCGCCACGTGTTGGTCTCTTACATCAACCACTAGGGAGGTCTGCGTTCACGCCCCCTTTACAGGCTGGCGCACCAGATCCTTGTGTGGTCCCAGGGGAAACTCCTCTCGCTGAGAGCAGTTTACATCCCTGGACATCTCAATATGGGAGCAGACGCCCTGTCGAGGCAGGGGCCGAAGCCCGGGGAATGGACGCTCCACCCCGATGTGGTGAAGCAGATACGGAGAGTGTTTGGCCAGGCTCAGGTAGATCTGTTTGTTACTCAGGAGACATCGCACTGTCCCCTCTGGTTCTCTTGGACTCATCCAGCTCCTCTCGGACTGGATGCTATGGTAAAGACTTGGCCGAGGCTGCATCTGTACGCCTTTCCCCCGGTCGCTCTGCTCCCAGGAGTTCTGGAGAGGGTGCGCCGGGACGGGGTCTATCTGTAGCTAGTAGCCCCGTTCTGGCCGGGTCGAGTATGGTTCTCGGACCTGATTTCCCTTCTTGACGGTTCTCCATGGGAGATCCCCGTCTGGAGGGACCTCCTCTCACAGGCGGGCTTCTACCCCCGCCTAGAGTTGTGGAGGCTGTGGGAGTGACCTCTGTGGGGGCACAACTCGTAGCTGCCAGTCTCTCAACCGAGGTTAAGACCATTCTCCAATCCAGAGCTCCAATCCGTACGCCCTGAGTGGAATTTTTTCACTTCTTGGTGTGGAGACCGCCAGCTTGACCCAGTTAACTGCCCAGTTGGTACAGTGCTGGAGTTCCTGCAGGTCCGATTCTCTGCAGGGTTGACCCTCTCCACCTTGAAGGTCTACGTGGTGGCCTTTGTGGCCTATCACGCCCCTCACGGTGGTCAGTCTATGGGCAGACACTCCCTAGTTACATGTTTCCTCTGTGGTGCGCTGAGGCTGAGGCCTCCGGTACGATCTCGTGTCCCTCCGTGGGACCTGGTTGTGGTGCTGAGGCTTTCTGTAAACCTCCTTCTCTTGAGAGAGTTGGGGATCTACAGGCCCTCTCAGTGGCCCTCTCTTTTTAGACTTTGCGCCTGGTCTGGCCAAAGCATTTCTCTGCCCTCGAGCAGGGTATATTCCTAAAAGTTCCCTACTCTACACCACGGCCTGTCGTACTCCAGGCCTTCTGTCCTCCTCCCTTTCGGGAGCCCGACCAGCAGAGGCTTAACTGTGTGTGTCCAGTGTGAGCCAGTGGGTCGTGGATGCCATCTGTCTGGCCTATGAGTCCTCTGATCTCCCCTTGCCCTTGGGAGTCAAGGCTCACTCCACTAGAAGTGTGGCGGCCTCCAAGGTCTTTCTGGCAGGTGTCCCTATGCAGGACATCTGCAACGCTGCGGGTTGGTTCGTGCGCCTGACTTTTGTTGGGTTCTATGGCCTTGACATGCGAGCCACTCCTGGCTCTTTTGTTCTCTCGCCCTAGCTGTGCTCTTCCACACTGGGCAGGGATTTGTAAGTCTGGTGGCGTGGGCATACTCGTTCCCATAGCGTTTCGATGCAGCTCAAGTTCTTGAAGAGGAACGTCTCCAGGTTCCCCCGAGGGAACGAGACACTTCGTCTCAGTGCCATACTTCCGGCATCCCTGCGAGCGCCTGCTTCATTCTCGAAGCTGCCGCTGTATCCACTGCATGTGCTTTTAAGCTTCCTGGTCGCTACGTCACCCCGCCCGTGACATCTCGCCCATCCATTGGACTGATTACACATGTGATTCAGAGTGTGGTCACGCTGAAGGTGTTCCCATAGCGTTTCAATGCAGCGTCTCGTTCCCTCAGTAACCTGGAGACATTTTTACAAAGATTCACAGCGTATTACAGTCCCTGCACTATGCAAAAAATGCACCATCATGCATGATATTTGTTTAAGCCTTTTGAACGTTTATGAGTGAAATGACCATAAGTGATAATCTAGGTCTCTAGTAACGACTTTGTGTCAAAGCACATGATGTCAGCAACTATAGAGTCTAGACTATGCATGTACATGCATCATTGATGATTATGATCAAGTAAATTACTAAAATACAACACCTACTTGTGAAATGTAATGCCTTGTTGCCATGTCCGTAAAGTTCATTGTATACAGCTCCAATATGGCGGTGACGCAAAACTTGCAACATCTAAATATTTATATCCATTGCGCTGGCCACTAAGAGTGTAAATCTCAAGGTTCCATGTGATATGATGATAATTCAGTTTGATTTTTGATGGTACCACTGAATCTGCCGAGATCATCTGGACAAGATGCGACAACCAGCCGACGATCAGAGAGACGTTTCAATTGAGACGACTGAGGTGGTCTGCTGAATGAACACCACCTGAATACCTTATCAGCTTCTCTATTGGCAATGACCAGCGGATTGGAAGGTGCAAAGATCTGCGCCAAAGAAGACATGGTCAAAACAAATTGAGGAGGACCTGAAAAAACACTGGTCCACTCAGTCTCCACGATGCCAAGGCCATTGCCATGGTTCGTAAAACATGGAAAGGCATCATGAGTGAAATTCAAAATCCAGCAGAACCCAAAGCAGTGTACCGGCTCTGGACGCAACCCCACCTTGTCTCTAGCTAGGGACCAAAGAAGACTGAATCTGCTATGATATAACAATATAATTTGATTTAGTAACTCCTAATCGATATGTGACCATGTTTGTTCAGAATCTGGGGTAGGTCTACTGTTAATTCATGAATCATGATGTAGAGAAGGACTATTTTAAAAGTA